TATGTAGGTAAATCTTTGATGAGCAAAGTGCTTCATATTTAGATTGATAAACATGTCCACCTGCAGGTCAACTGCAAGAAGTACAATTATACAGAACACTTAAAAAAAAAAACATTTACAAAAATATGAAATTTAGGTACACGTAGGTTTCTGTTATTATTTTGTAGTTCGCTATTCAAAGAATTATAAAAATATGAATACAGTTGACTTATATCCAAACTACCTTTTAATTTTTTTATAATCGAGTAATGTCTACTTTAAACATTAAACATTGTAGAATATCTTGAAAATCCCTCAAATAGCAAAGTTAATCAGCCAGTATTTGAGAAGCATGACTAAAGAGCCAGAAGCACAAAATAGAAAGCAAAGCGTAGATGTGACTGTCAGGGGCGGAGCTACATGGGGGGCCAGGGGTGGCCATGGCCACCTTTAGCCAATCATTGGCCACCCCTGTGGCCACCCCTACCATTTTTTCGCTCTAATACAGATTGTGATAATGCAGATACAGCAGTGATATTCTCAAGTGGAATATAAAAAAAAATAATAATTTTCCTGTGGTTAATTATGCACATCAATATACAAACATCAAAGATGATAAGTACTGGATTGATGCTCTTTTCAGAGTTAGATTTTGTGTTATATGGGGTAAAGAGTCATGCAGGTTCTCCAAAGGCACAGGCCCGCCTCCAAGGTGGATTGATTGTGAGTACATCAAGTGTTTCTCTTAGGAGTGTTAAAACTTCACTTGCCTTTTCTGTTGGGTCCACAGTGGCTGGTTTCTTCTGTCAGGTTGGGTGGAGGCTGTGAGGACCCAAATGCAGAAAGAAGTAGGAACAGGTGAGTTTTTGATGAATTAAAGAAAGTCCATGGGGAGCAGAGGAAAAAGTCCAAAATACAAAAATACTGAAAACCAAACAAAGACTAATAAACGTCAGGGAAAATACTCGAAGGAAGCAAGAGACTAGAAAGCTATGAAACATCAACACAAGAAACCAGCCCTAAGTGAAAGCTCTGCTGCTCTTTAAGCCCAGCACTCTGATGAGAAGATTATCTTCACCTGTGTAGGCTACCTACAAAGATCCTCTATGGTAGAGATGCATAACACACACAGGAACTCTGACAAGCAGTTTTATTTTAGAATTAGTCCTTTGCTTTCACTTTCAGCTGTTAATAACATGTAGGATGTTCTCTCTTTTTGTGAATAAACCTTTTAATCAGATCTAGCATCAACACTCTAATTTCGTGTTACCCCTGACTTCCTGACAACGTGCAAAGGTGACAAATCAAAATGTTTATTTCAATAAAGGAAGTAAGCAACAGAACTGATAAGTGAGAAATCTAAGAAAAGCTCCTGACAGACGGTAAATAAACAGACACAGGACATGAGCAATGCTGCTATGCAGAATCAGCTGCTGGTGAATAATATATGGTATGCAATACTGTCTCGCGGAAAATAATGTTTCAAGTGGAAAGAAAACAACAGGGAGGAAGAAACAAGATAAAGAGAGGAAATCTAAAGGCAAACAAGACATTTAGACTCAGAGCTAAACCAGCAACCCAAAATGATGCAAGAAAAGGAAGTCCTTACAGAATAGCCTAAGCCATCAACTTTACATATGGAGCTAAACATAAATAACTTAAATAGTCCTCATAGCAGTAAATCTGCAGAGTAAGCTCACTTTTTTCATATTGATAAAAAAAGATTATGCAATAATTGCCGGTGAAGGTTCTCAGTCATCCAGGTCAACGTCATTCCAAAAAAAAGAAAAGTGAAAAGAATCCAGAGGTTATATACTCTAGCCCAACAAAGCATAGCACGTTTTGTGGTGTAATGTGTATTCATATTGTGTTTCACATTTAAGACGCACGCTTTTATTTTTCTTTCAGAGGGTTGGGGGTCCATAAGTGGGCCGGTGTAGATGGAAAAATGCCAGGGCCGAAAATCGTTCCCAGTCCGAGTCTGTCGGCATCTGTGCGTGTCTCTCTGAGGTCACTGCTGGACTCAGGGAACTCTGGACCTGCCTGAATTCCTTAGACCTAGACTTTATTGTCATTATGTACACAAGAGTGTATACAAAAAGAGATTTCGTTCAGTGCAGCTCTCAAGACATTTCCATTTTTAAAGTGCAGCAGTGATAAAATGTACACCAGCAATAGCTTTGCGGGAGCTCGCAAAACTATCGCGAGATCTCGCAATACTTTTGCGAGATCCTGTAATACTTTTGCGAGATCCCGCAATACTTTTGCAGGATCTCGCAATACTTTTGCGAGATCCCGCAATACTTTTGCGAGATCCTGCAATACTTTTGCAGGATCTCGCAATACTTTTGCGAGATCCCGCAATACTTTTGCGAGATCCTGCAATACTTTTGCAGGATCTCGCAATACTTTTGCGAGAACCAGCAATAGTTTTGCGGGATCTCGCAAAACTATTGCGAGATCTCGCAATACTTTTGCGAGATCCTGTAATACTTTTGCGAGATCCTGTAATACTTTTGCAAGATCCCGCAATACTTTTGCGAGATCCCGCAATACTTTTGCAGGATCTCGCAATACTTTTGCGAGATCCCGCAATAGTTTTGCGAGATCCCGCAAAAGTATCGCGGGATCTTGCAAAAGTTTATTTTTTCCCTCCATGTCCCTTTAGGGGCTCCGCACAAACCTGAGTGCCAGAGATTAGCAATGTTCTTCCTTCCCGCTGCCGCAGGTCCATCAGATCCACAGCAGCCTGCATTTCTGTTCTGTTCTGTTTTATTATTGTTGTCATTAAACGTTTTAAAACATCCTACTGTCTGACTCGCCTGGATTCTGGATCCATCCTGGATTCTGGATCCATCCAGAATCCAGAAGCTAAATGCACATATTGACTGTCTGCTCTATAGACAGAAAATATGTGACTTGCACTTTAAGATTCAACAAATCTTTGCTGTACCAAAATGAGACAATAAAGATTCAGAT